TTTTTTTTTTAGGCCGGCCGCTAAAAATGATTTTGACTTTAGCGACGATATAGCCCAGCCTCAAATGCGAGTAAGAAGTCAAAATTCGACGCCAAAGTCTACGAAAAAGAAAATTGCAAATTTTGCGGGTGTCATGGAGGTACTGAAAAAGAAGAACGCCGAGGGATCTTCATAAAAAAACAATAAGGAATGGGCTGAGGGGGGGGGGGGGGGGGGGGGGGGGGGGGTTGGGGGGGGGTTATGGGGATGGATCGTAATTTTGGATATCTGCGAAAGAGTGTACTCCAATCTGCATAGATAGGATTGTGCTCATGTTGTGGAGGGGCTAACGCAAAAAGGCATTATATTTAATCAAAACAGTCAACCACAAAAGTTTACGTACAGAGAATTTTTCACAATAGTTGTGTTTTCGAATTCTCCAGCAAAAAATATCCACTAAGACTGCTAGGTTCAAGGCGAAGGAGGTGAGAAGAGAGGGGAAAAGTACATTCGTCTCGCCTCCTTCGCCAACGAACGAGCAGACTTGAAATTAAGACTTGACGTGTCTGAAAGTGGTGTAACTTGCCAGTAACCAAATTTCGGTGAGTAAGTCAATATTTACCCTCAATGAGAGAAATATGCAAGTACGAAAACGCAAACCCAGCAAGAAGTTGCAAGTTTTATAAACAGCTGATTACTTTGTTATTCTCCGACGCAATATTCTAAGAAAAATAGTATTTCCCATCTTATATATTTAAATAGGTTTATTTTGTCAATTGCAACTCTAAAAGCATCACAAACAATTCTTTTGTTAATGTGAATTGCATTAAGCATCATGCCATCAGCTGTTTTTCTTACCGGCAAATAGTTACTAGTAAAAATTTATCCAGTCAAAATCCAGTAAAACTTCCAAGTTCAGCTGTCATTTTTGCTCTCTCGATTTCCCCTGCATTTCCTGAATTTTACTGGATAGTGCCTATGCAAATCGGCCTAATAGTTGTGCTTGTTTACCCATTTTCAGTAAAATCAAGTAAAAGTTTTTACTAGTGTTCATGTTTTGGCGGTTTCGTACGCAAAAACTTAAAAACTAGAGGAAATTGGATCGAAAATGACAGCTGAACCAAGGCGTATTTAACAGGTGATAGCAGCACCCTTTTATTTTTCTTCGCCTCACGGCTTCATATGTCAAATGGCTGCTCTTGATTGGTTAGACCAGTTGATTGGCTATTATTTTCAGTTCTCTTTCACATCCTTCGTCAAGAATGATAGAATACAGAAGCAAAAGCAAAAACAAAATACAAGTACATTTTGTTATTGGCGTACCGATACCACCTTATTGAATACGCCTTGAGCTGAACTTTTACTGGATACATTAGTTGTATTTGTTTACCTATTTCCAGTAAAATCCAGTAAAGGTTTTAACGAATTTTCATATTTTGGCGTTTTCGTACGCAAAGTAGGGGAAATTGAGAGAGCGGAAATGAAAATGAAATTTTTACTTGTAACGATTTGCCAGTACGAAAAACAGCTGATCGCATATTGCTGGATGAAATTTAAACTAATAAGGTAACGATTTGTTGGTTTTTATTGTTGAAATTGGCAAAATAAACCGATTTAAATATAAAATATATTGTTTTATTAGGAATTAGCTGCGAATAAGCAACCAATTTATCAGCTGTTCATGAAACCTGCAAACTATTACTGGATTCACGTACGCGTACTTTTTGGATATTTTTTTTATGAGAGCGAATTCTTAGAAATTAAGTTATTTTTACTTGTAACAATTTGCCAGTACGAAAACAACTGGTCGCATGTTGATGGATAGAGTTTAAACTAATAAGGAAATTGTTTGTGGGTTTTTATGGTTGAAATTGACGAAATAAACCTATTTAAATATAAAATATATTGTTTTATTAGGAATTTGCTGCGAAAAAAGTGCTTCCTAGCATGCCTTCTAGAATGCATAAATTTATATTATTTAGCATTACAAATGAATTTCAATAAACATATTAGGGGTCTTCATCTAAAATTTGGAACACTGTTGCAACTGCCCAACTGATAATACGTTGTTAGAAATTCACACAAAAAATAATAATTCGCGCAACACTGCTGCTGTGATTGTAACTCGAACAAGCCTCAAGTGATAAACTTTGGTTAAATAGATTTTCATACAAAGTTTGACAGTTCATTTATCAAAATGATAAATTTATCGCTTTATCAAGTTTATCAAGAATTTATCACTTTTGATGAAGACCCCTATTAAGTTACAATAACACATATTTGATATAAATCTTAAGCAGATATGTACTTCAAAGATGTATGATGTTTATAAATTAAAGAAGCAACTTTAAAAGAACTCCTCCAAAAGGCCTTCTGAAGTACGTCCTATAAAAGCCCTTTTGAAAGGCCTTCCATTGGTAGCGAAAGAAGAAGTCCTTCAATTTGTGCCACTTCGTACGAAAAAGAAAGGAGAAAGGAATGTAGGGTGGAAGGCCTCTTCACTCTCAGGCAGGCCTTTCGGAAGGGCTTTTAACACCTGAAATTATCTACTGGGTAGTTATAAATGAAATGTAATTGTTATTGCCGTTGGTGTGGCAAAAAAGGTAAATTCTCCTTTTCGTTTAACGTTGTATTATAGAAATCAAAAGATCTCAAATATTAGAATGGAAGTGCAGTGAAATAAAAAAAGTTTATGAAAATATATATACAAGGATCACATGCCTTGGAAGCCCATCAAAATATATGTAGTGTAAATTCCTCGTTAAGCAAATAATATCACAACTACAGTGTGGGTGTGTTACACTTGCCTGGCTATCAGGTTGTCTGGTTGAAAATAATTATTCTGTGGTGTATTTTATTGTTGTACACTGAATAAAAAATATAACGACATAACCTCATCAGCAGATAAGCGTACACAGGTGTGAACGTACACAACATCATCAAAAACTTGTATTTTCCCCCATACAAAGTCGACCCAGTCTAATGTACGGTTCCAACTAAATTACAAAAGTATTGTATTTATACTCGTGAAGGTTTTATTCCAAACATTTTAATTTTAATCGAAGGAAAAATTCACAAAAGCTTAGATATGGCGTTCTTAAAATATACTTTACTCTAAAACAAAGTTCTGGTATAATTGTAACGTAAATATAACCATATGAATTCTAAAGAAACTAAGACACAACATTGTACATACGTATACACACATATTGAGGCAACGAGAGCAAAAGTGGCCTAACCTGGAATTTTTTTTCTTGTAGGTAACGTAACTTCTTTAAATAGTTTCAAATGTGATAAATTTTAAAGTAAAGGTCGCTTATTCTTTTATTTGATGAAGCTCTTTGCCTTAAAATAAAAGAATAGGCGACTTAAATTTTAAAATTTATCTGGTTTGAGACTATTTTAAGTAGGGGAGCATTCAAAAAAAAAAATGTTTGGGTTAGGCCACTTCTGCTCTCATGGTCTCATATATGAATGCACTTACTTACACTTTTCTAAAAATGCAAATCTTAACTACCTACATATAATATGTATATATACCAAAGTAACACCTAATTTCCTTTTCAGTTTTGACTTAAAAACTTATAAGTAAATTAATTAATATGTATGTATGTACATAAATTGGCTGGGCCGAGGAGCAAGTACCATATTTAATAGACAAAGTAAATTACTTGCATTTGTAAATTTCATATGGTCCGTGAGATTTTCTGTAGAAAGTAGGAAAAAGTGCGCATTATTTCATTGGGAAATCAAAGCTTTAAAATTTTTCATAAAAATAAAAACTTCTGTAATAGTAAGAAAATCATGGCAGTTCTTAATAAATCGGCGTTGTACCCAAGTAAGAAACGAAAGATAAAATATAAGGACTTGGGGTGTATTTGGGTGACGCTGCCTATATCAAGCGTTCGAGGAACAAAATTTTTTAAGTCTTAAAGGACGGGGCTTGTTCAGGACAATTTCGGGATTAGTTCGGGACCATTTCGGGGCTAGTTGGGGGCCAGTTCGGGAGTAGTTGGGTGTCAGTTTGGAACTAATTGGGGAGTAGTTTGGGTACAACGAAACGGGCTTGAACAAGCCCCGACTTTTAAATACTTAAAAAATTGTTTCGCACTCATAATTATTATGAAACGACTTTTATAATATAAGTCACAAAATAAATGTCTTGGAAGATTTAAAAATATTTATCTCAATAATTATTAGCGACTGTAAAAACTTCCAGCAGGAAAAAGTTACGAATTGGCAGCAGAAATGTAAAATTGTCTCACCAGAGTAAAGTTTTTTCACCTTTTCTACTGATTGGCACAGGCCCTCACTTCAATATTTTCACAACTCAAAACAGCGAAAATCGAGAAAAAATGCTTTAAAGTTTTGAATTTACACATACTCACATAGTATACATGAATACAAATTTTATTCTAGTGAGATACTGGTAATCCATGCAGCTACAGCATAGAATAAGGGGTAGCGGTAATTTCTGCATGTTTAACTTAATTTTTGTATTTTTTGGATTATGATAACTTTAGTTAGGAGAAAATGGGATGGTTCAAGAAATGAAAGAAGCAAAGTTGTATGCTTCGCTTTGAAAGGATCTTTTTGTATCTATAATAAAACTCATAGATTTACAACTTTACAAAAAACATTTTAAATTTACATACACAGCATAAATTTTGGTGAAGGGGTATATCTGACCATAGCCAACTAAGGAAATATTTTAAAATCTGATTTCTGAAATCATATCAAATAGGTAGGGCCTTTTGTTTTTGATGATAACGATATACATACATATGCTGCCAAAAGAAAGTAATAAAAACGTTCTATGTGTATTATTACGTTTAAGTATGGCCTCATTCATTCAAAATAAAATAAATTTAAAAGGCTTTATAAAGTGACAGGTTAATACTATTTTTCAGTTTATAGAGCTTTTCAAATATATTTTAGTTTAAATGAATTTGGGCGATAGAGTGCAATTGAGTCATTTTCTCGTGAGGATTTTCTTTGAATACTAGAACGCACTATATTAAAGCTTTACCGTAATAATTTTTTTTTTTTAATTTTGCACGTTAAATGGCTGCCCCTTCGAACATAATTGACCGAATAGAGTCAAGCAACGCCGTAAAAGTAGGCCGCGCCTTTGGATCAGCTTGCCAGCATGGCAGCATAAGTTTGTCGTATACAATTTGTGGACACAAATCTGGTTTTCTGAGCCTAGCAAGCAAAAGGAAAAAGACTTTAGTATCTAAATACTAATCAATGTTTATACATACCTTTCACCCAGTTGAAGTCGTTGTAGAAACTCGTCTTGACTAAGCTCCCGATTGGGAACCAGATTTGGCATATCTCCGCCCGAAAACGTTTCAAACATAGTCACACCATAAGACCACACGTCTGATTTCATGGAGAATTTATTGTATGCTATGGACTCTGGCGAATACCTAAAAATTGCGTGTTCAAAAACATTGAACCAAATATATTATTCTCTTATATTAAATAAATACCATTTTATGGGAATATCACGTTGGCTAAATCCCCAATAGTAACCATCTGCATTTGCAAACTGTGATAGTCCAAAATCGGATATTTTAACATAATCTTTCTCCTTATCCCACAAAATGTTTCGTGTTGCCAGATCTCTGTGTATAATTTGTTTACTCACTAAGTATTCCATGCCCTTTACATGCAAGTTAATTGAGAAATCGAGAAAAAAAAATATTAATAATCTCCAGCAATGAAAAATAGTATACAAAACAAACCCTAGCAATGTCACTGGCGAAATGTAACAGCTTATTATTGGTCAAATTGGAGGTTTTTAACAGTACAAGAAAGGAGCCTCCAGACACGTATTCCATTACGATAGAAATGGGCTTTCGGACTGAATATTTAATTTTAACAACGTTCGGATGATTCATGGACTAAAAATATTAACAGCAATTATTGTTTTGAGTTCAAAAATAATGTATAGGTATATGAATGTATTGATGTACATAAATGTTATGCCTTTACTATTATTTACCTGCATTATTTTTATTTCCCGTAAGAAATCTTTTGGATTCGATGTAGCTTCAGGTTTAAATTTCTTCACTGCCACTTCTTCTGGCGCTGTATTTGGATCGTTGTAACGTAATTCGCCCCAATGCACAGTGCCATAATGACCCTGGGCTACTTGTTTAATAATAATAACTTTTCCAATTGGCAATGTTAAAACCCATTGTGTATCATCCCAAGGGCGACCAGGCATTCCAGTATGTGAAAATCCTTGATTGGGGGAAATAAACGGTGTAATCGACTGACTTGAGAAAGCATCGCAATTCCCACTATTTTCATTGTCTATATCATTATCACTATCACTATCTTCGTATGGAAGATGGTCTTCGCGTTCGTTGGTGAAAATACGTTCATAACTAGGCCTGTACCTTCCTATGAGAGTGTTTAGCGTACCGAAGATATTTCCTGTTTGAAACCGATTGGAAGCGTCCAAACTCCAGCCGTCGAACATCATATTAGAGATCTCTTCTGGACAACATTCGCTTGGTTTGAGTAGTATGCCACCGGTTCGAGACCGATTCATTAGTAGCTTTTCAACAATTTTGGCGGGTTTTCCAATGCATTCGAGCTCTTCCAATATGCTCTTACCATACGCAAATATCTCCCAAATAGTTGTTGCGAAGGCCCACTCATCTGCACACTCGTCCCCGCGAACACCATCGGGATTATTATAATATTCCTGAGGTATCCAAGGTAAACTAAGCGAAATAAAATTATAACTAAGTGAATAAGGAAAGAATTATAGTCTGCTTTTTTCCAGAAAATAAGCACTGTGTTAGAACTCGTGCGTCGGGTTCTCTATAAATTTTTCAAATGGTATAGCTAGTTGAATTTGTACGTACAATTGTTCGTAAGCGGGTTAATAACTCGGTTTCCCCATTAAATTCATTAAACCCACTTAAGCAGTTAAATTACGATTTTTTAAAAAAGGCATTTTCATCACAACGTGGAAAATAGGTCAAGCATTTGGTATTATTTGGTTACAGACACTTTAATTGCACCACCTGCAATGCGCTACTTACTCTTCGTGGGAATAAGCACGACGAATTCCGGGATCGCCAATTTTCGTCTCGATGCAATTGGATTTCAGGTCGTATTTTGTCACGTACAAATTAGAACAGCGAATAAATCCATGATGCATATGTTTCACTCTCTGTGGGTTAAAATTGAAAAAAATAAATAAATAAATAAATTGTAGCTTATAAACTAAATTATGATGTATTTAAAAATTCCATACCAGATATTCGATACCTCTCGCCAAATCATATACAATAGATATTAGCATTTGGAGGGATATTTCGTCTTTGTTCTTTCGAAGAAATTCGTCGAGTGGCGCATGATAATACTCCATTACCATTGTATAAGGAGTATTTAAGGTCAAACCATGTAGTTTTAAAAATTGCGCTGAAAAAATTTGACTACAAAAGCTGGCCAAGTCCGTGAACTCCTAAAATACGAAAATTTTAACGTAAATTATTTTCCTTTTCAAGTTTTACATACCAATTACAGTAGATAGAAACTTCATATGTCGATGGTTCTGTGCAATGACGACACAGTTTAAAATTCAAAAAATAAAAACCCTTACTACTGTTAAGTGGCTCCTTGTCGAATCCATGTCTAATCTTTTGTGCTTAATTCAGAAGTCCTTACTGCTTACTTTAGTAAGGGATGGAAATGGATTATAGACGAGAGCCACTTAACAGTAGTAACAGTTTTTTTTTTTTTTTTGAATTTTGAATTGTGTCGTTATTGCAGAGGACCATTTTTATGTGTACATACGACCACTTTTCTGAACGTAATTACCTTGGGGTTACTTTCTGATAAAAATATCTTTAGCATAACACTAACGTCTTTGCAGACGCCTCCTTGGATCCAGTCTCCACGAACTAACATTATTTTACCGTTATCGCACATACGTTCTGTATCTATTTTAGAAGTAAAAAAAATTCCCAGCATTTTTTCAAAAGCAAAAAGTGAAAAGTGTATGCTTTTACTTACTCTGATACCATCGCAGATCTTGTTTCCGATCAAATATTTGGACTTTTCTTTTTCGGAGTTCAGCATCACTTAATTCCGTGTCAGTCTTCTTTGGTTGTAAATTTTTTGGCAAACAAATTAGCAGAAGTGGTGCCTTTTCTATGTAATCAATGGAATACAAAAACCGTTTAAACTGCATAAAGTATTTAATATAACTTTGTTAATTACCGTATTCTGATGGCCATAGAATTTTTGTTGAAATAGAGTTCCTTAAATCCTTTAAATCATCAAATGCTTTTACGCCATCGTTTGAGTGTAGAAGCCATTTGTTATTTTCTCTGGTTATTTTAGTAGTGAGTACATCCACCGCCAAACTTTTTTCTAGTTTACTGTATGCATGCAATTTAAAATTCCTATTAAATATTCTTATTAAATTTTAAAAGTATTTTACTCACGTCTTCGCTTTGTCAATATAATATACATCGTATTCTTTTTCGCATTGACGGATTAGGCAGGTGGCACCATTTAGAGATAGTTCTCGTAATTTGGCGAAGGAAAACGCACCACTACATAATGTAAAAACAAAATATTACTTACAATAAATTACAAATTTTACAGATCCGGATGAAATACCCAATTGGTCCATGGCATTTGAGGTCCTTCAGTTTTTGTAAGGAGGGAGTTTGGAAGTTCGCACACAAATCAGTCATCCATTTCGCAGTTAGTCTTTAAGTAACATTTGCAATTTAAATTTTTTGATTAAAAATTTAAGAAATTGACAATAAAAGATAATTCTGGGGTTTAGATGCATTTTCACCTTGAATAGCCCGATATATATGTGATGAAGGACTCTAATTCAGTCCTTGAGCCAAATTGCATGCGATAGCCCTGGGGTAGTCCTGTGATCTCCAATAATGCACACACGTCCCCTCCGATACATATTGCAAATATATCCTCGATCTTTGTCAATAAGGTCCACTACAATAAGACAGTAATGTTTGTATTAGTATATAAGTTTATGACTTTGAAACATTAACGAGATAATATTCGGCGATATCATAGGTGGGTATTGTTGTTCCAACGGCAGTATATTCTAATCCCTATCTGGTTTCGTCCATCTATCAATCCTTGTCGTCAAACTGAACTAACGGTGGGCGAGGAAATGAAAAGTGTGCTAATGATGGTAAGGTATACATACATAAAAATGTAGCAGGAGTCTGGGTACTGCATGTGGTTGACACATCGCTAGTGCTTTTCACGCAAAAACTGGCTACGTAGTTTTCCTTGCAATACCCAATATTCATATGTACATATGCATGTACCTAAATATGAACATACATACATTCGAGTAGGCTTGGGGACCTTTTGAACTAAAGAGCGAAAGAGTCAGCTCTTTTAATTGAACTACTTCATTAAAAATGGAAATGAAAATAAGACATTTTATTTCATTGAATTTCCAATGTCTTACGTCGTTTAGTGCAATTTGTTTAAATAAGTAACTATTTGAGTTGTTGTTTAATAAAATACTATCGCTTTCAGATCCCAAAGCAAAGCGCAATTTGTTCGCATTTCGAAGGCAAAATTGAAGAAAAGAAAATGAAATGCAGACACTGCCAAGTTTCCATAAGCATTGTTGATGGTTCTCATGGAAATTTGAATCACCATATAAAAGCCAAACATCCTTTCGTGATATCGGAAAAGATGAATAAATGAAGACGACTAAATTGTGCCGTTAAGGAAGTGGACCAACACTAGTCGGAAAAAATTGTTTTTTACATACATTTTTGTTGTTCTGTACCTTAGCTCCTACTACCGATCTAGTTCAATTAGGTGAACTATAGTTCAATAAGATGAAAGAAATAAAAGCTTAAACAGACGGCAGCGTTGATCCGGACTAACTCGGACATAAGCCGCATCAACTACAGCTAATTGCCGAGTTGATCCGGATCAACGCTGTCGTCTGTTTATGCTTTAAGACTCATAAGAGCTAGTTCATTGGGCTGAACCAACTAGAAGTGAACACTAATCTTTAAAGTGAACTATAGAATCCAACTCTAATATCAAGCCCCAATTGACAAAAAGATGTTAGCGACATTTTTTTTTTAATTTTTTTTTTGATACAGAAATGCATATACATACATATGTATATAGTCTAGGATCATTCCTGCATACATTTTTTTTTTTTATTTCACATCTTTTTGGCTATTAGGGGTCGAAATGTATAACAAATGTTAACATTTATGATTTGCACATTTAATCTTCCATTCGCTTGCATTTTAACTTACCTTCACTTTTTCCCGTGAAATTTTCAAACCCGGCTCCGGATGGTCATGAGTGTCTAACTTAACAAAAACTCTTGTTCCACTATCTCCTCTACCAGATGTCGGTGTCCGCACCATTAATAGATCATCATTCGGGATATAATTAACAGTAGCAACATACATTTCCATTAAATAGGTGGGAGCAAGCTTACACACCTCAGATATATAGTAGAATTTGAATTCTGTGAAGCCAATTTTCTTTTCCCGTACATTTTTAAATGTCGCACAGATTTTAGATTTTACAAAATATTTGTGCTCCTTTAATAGTGTTTGGGGCAGATAACGCTTATAATTACTTTCAATTTTCTCAATTATTTCCCGCTTATAATTTTTCTCTAATCGCTCAGATGCTGAACTTTTAGCTTCCAAATCGATGGACATATCCATAACAGCAAAGCCCATCACATTATCCTTTTTTTCTGGATGGCGTATTTCAGGAATTTTTTCGTTTACTATATCATAACGAATTTGCCAATACAAATACTCATAAGCCTCCTTATCCAGGTTTTTTAATTGGGTATCCATATTCGGAACTTTGATCCGCATTCGAAAGCAATAACGTACACCTGGCCTCAAACTAAGGCCGGGAATCGCCCACTCATTTTCCGAATCCAGTACCCGTAGTCCAAATAATAAGCGAGTTGTCGGTAATATTTTAAGCTGGCGGCACATTGAAAAGCAAATGTCCTCACAAGTTAGTGAATTAGCGTATTCAATATCCTTTTGGTCTTTGTAGTTAAAGATCTTATTTGTGGCTTGACCCGACGCCCTCGCAGAGGAAGCTGTTGACTGAGAAGACGTTGTTGAATTGGACACATCCGCATGGTCGCCAATACTGATTTCTCCGTTGCTATGTATCGAACTCCCGCCTCCCATGGAAAAAGAGGCACTACTGGTATCCAACAAAGTGATGGTGGTATGTGTTGTACCAGATGCGTTGGAAGCTTGATTCATAATCCGACGAGAAATTTCAAACTTTTCGCCCAATAAACGTTTCATTAATAGGCGAAGTTAGCCAAATGCAGCTTCTTTTAGATGTTACACTTGCAACAAATTCCTTCCCTTTTTTGCAATACACAACTTTGCATATTCACATCTACTTTCTTGGTAGTCCTTGATTCATAGTATTGCCTACTCTATATGCAGGATATAGATAATTGCAGGATATAAATCTGAGCTAATAAAAATAGTTTTTTTTTTTACTTCTCGACGAGTTAATGAATAAAAATTGCCGCTGGAAATAATTTTGCCGTGAATCGCAGCTTTTCTGAATTCTTTTCGTTTTATCAGATTTCCGCCATTTTGGAACAACAACTTTCAGCACATAGAGTTGCAAATGAATGTAACTCGTAGATAAACTTACCCAAAATGTATACAACAAAGTGTAATACACCTTGGCCTTTTCCATGTAATAAATTATTTATCTTTTGTATTTAAGTAAAAAGTTGTATTAACATTAAACAATAAAGTTCTATGTTCAACAATTAATAAAATCGAATTATAGAATATTCAATAAAATATTAAAGTGTTTTCAGAATGCAGCCCTGCGTTCAAACTGCCAACAAAACAAAACCGATAAAGGTGAAAATAAAAGAAAACATATGTATATTGATAACCAAAGGAAAATAGACTGGAGCAAATGAAATTTCTCAGCTTATCTTTGTGTTCCGTCAGATTTTTTTATAAACTCAGGTTAATTTACTTTTACTACAATTAATTATGCAGCTTAATAAGATAAAACTGTTCAAGAGAATGTATCCACTTAGTTGTTGGGTTGGGTATCTCCATACGATCCGGTAAATATTTGTATCATGGTTTTAACGTATATTTCCATTTTTACAGGCTCATTCCATAATTCAAAGGAAATTGATTTCAAATTGCAAGAATCCAAAAGAAATGAAGTTTTTAACTCAAACCGAAGCAATTAATGTTGATTTAGAACTATTCAACGAATATAAATTTAGTGTGGACCAGCTTATGGAACTAGCTGGATTGAGCTGTGCTCATGCCATAGCAAAGTGCTATCCAGCCGAACAATATAAACGCATTCTAGTATGTTGTGGACCTGGCAATAATGGTGGGGATGGATTAGTATGTGCCCGCCATTTGTCGTTGATGAATTATAAACCGAGCATATACTATCCAAAACCAACACCTAAAGAATTATACGAGAATCTAACCCACCAATGCAAGCGCTATGCTATTCCATTTCTTAATTCAAGCCCTAGTCTGGAAACAACTAGTACGTGTTTTGATTTAATTGTTGATGCACTTTTTGGCTTCAGCTTTAAACCACCAGTACGAGACACATTTGTACCTATTGTTGAGGTACTCCAAAAGACTAGACTACCAATTGCTAGGTAAGATATCTTAAAAAGTTGCAAGTTCATTATAAAATATTTACCTCGCGCAGCATTGATATACCTAGCGGTTGGGATGTAGAGGACGGCAAATTGAGTGAAGCAGATTTCGAACCAGAACTGTTAATATCGCTAACAGCTCCAAAGTTGTGTGCACGTTCATTTCAAGGAAAATATCATTATTTGGGAGGACGTTTTGTACCGCCGGCTCTTCAAGAAAAATACCAGCTAAACTTGCCTGAGTATTTAGATTGTGATTCATGTGTAAAATTATAAATTGTTAACTCATTTAAAAAGAAAGTATATTTCTTCAAAATATCAAAACAAAAACCAAATCTATTTGTACACTCTATTGTAGTGTTTTCTACGTCGATCTTCTTCAAATGTATTATTCCGTGCCCATTCCTTTAAATTGCCCTTCGATCGCAACATAGCCGACTTAGAATCGACGTCACGCATTACAAAAGGTGAAAATCCAGCTATATAATCTTCCTCCAATGCATTTGTTTTAGTTTTCGCCACACGTGATGGCATTTGTCTCGGTATAGGTTGGTCCTCAAATAGTATAGGATTGCGAGAATGTTTGCCTCCCTGGAATTTCGGTAAGCTTTGATTCTTATATTTAGCCGTTAATGGCCGACGAGTATTTATGTGAATCTATAAAAAAAGCATTATGGCATGAATAACTTGTTATATTAAAGTAAAAAGCTCGTTTACTTACAACTTGCTTTCCATTCTCATCTAAACTTACGGCCACACGTTTAAGAGTTTTGTTGCCACAATTTGGACAAAAAACTTTCGTCATTATGCTGGTTGTTTTATAACAAGCATAACACCGCAAAATGTATGTGCGAAGGTGTCTAATAACGCGACCATCTAACGCACAAATTTGTAAATTCATTTGCTTCAAGACATTTTGTAGTGCATAATCCGTTGACATACAGGCAACAATCGGTACAACATCTGATTCCACTTTACCTTCTAGTGATTTCTTCACCTTTTTGATGTTCGCTGGTGTAATCCAACTGTTGTCGTCATCCTCTATGTCAGGTTCAGATTGAAGACTAGACTTTTTTTCATCAGTATCTATGTCTGCTTCATCTGAATCTGTTTCTGCATCATTAGATTTTTCATTTTGTGGAACAAGAATGTTGCAAGCATCCTCATCTGGCTCATCGCATTTCAACTTTTCCATTAATTCATCCAACTCCGCTTGTGTTATCAAATCGGCACTGCTATCATTTTCGCTTGGATTAGTTATTTGTTGTTCAATTGCTTTTTTGACAACATCAACCCCATTGCCATCAGTTTGGTATTCATTTGAGTCATCTTCATCCTCGCTTATGTCATCACTACTTGATTTATCTTGCGGGTTGTACCATCCTGCTAGCTTTGTGTTATCTTGGAATTCTTCGGGCTTCTCTTTTGAGGCCACTACCTTGGACAAAACTGGTTCTGTACGTAAATGCTCTGTACCTACATTGTCAACCTCGAGCTCATACGTTAAGGAAATTACTTTGATGTCTATGCCAGAGAGACTGGCATAGTCGCCAGTCTTTTTAGCGAATTCCACACAGTGTTTTACACTGTCCGTCCGAGGTTCGCGCACTTGCAAATCAAAAGGTAAAACACATAGTCGTCGGATCTGACGTTTATTGCGCACCTCTTTAATAACATCTGGAACTGTTAATACATTTTTGGCATAATCCTAAAATGTACAAATGGTCATTCCCTGGAAAGACTGAAAATATTTACTTACATTTAACTGAACCGCGTTTATAAAGGCTGTAGTATCAGCCACCAAATATTCAATTGTTCTTTTCGTTTCGGCCATTATCAAAATTTAATGTAGCAAGTTAATTAACATTTCCTATTTCATACTTCATTTATTGTTGTCAGTTCACACACCATCTGCGAAAGGGACACAACTCAAAAATCAGATCCGAAAATATAACTGCTTGAGGATGGTACAAATTCAATGCAATTAACACAAAAATATGCACAACAATTGCTTTGGAGTTGTAGAATATAGTCATGAAGAAAAATATTTGCATTAATTGGAGACAAATCCTAAAAATCGATTCAAGCTAAAATAATCGACTTGAATTTTTTTTAGTTATGCCCCTTTTGAAGATGGTGTGTCAGATGTCAACGTCCACACGTGGAAAACAATGTGCTGCCACCTTGCTATAGTTGCGTTTTTTTTTACTCATTTCCAGTAAAATCCAGTAAAAGTTTTTACGAATTTTCATGTTTTGGCGTTTTCGTACGCAAAAACTTGCAAAGTAGGGGAAATTGAGAGAGCGGTGTAAGTTTTTACTGGATAAATTTTTACTTGTAAGAATTTGCCAGTACGAAAAACAGCTGATCGCATGTTGCTGGATGAAATTTAAACTAATAAGGAAACTGTTTGTGGCTTTTTATTGTGGAAATTCACAAAATAAACATATTTAAATATAAAATATATTGTTTTATTAGGAATATGCTGCGAATAAACAACCAATTAATCAGCTGTTCATGATACTTGCAAATTATTACTGGAAAAGCGTTCACGTACTTTTTTGTAAATTTTTTCTATGAGAGCGAATTTTAGAAATTAAGTTACTGGAGAGTTGCTGGCAAGTTACTGGATAATTTGTAAAAAAACACAACTAATGCGTCGAATTTATCAGACACCTGATCTAACAACACCATCTTGTATGAATACGCCTTGCTAGGTTTATAGGGCATTCGCACGCGTCGATTTTACAGGCAACAAAAATTGAATGAGAAGTTGAAAGTGAAAAGTTGCCATCTCTATTCAGACAAGGCGATTTTCGATTCAACACGAATTGTTATTTACATTATTGAAAATAAACTTAAATCGCAAAATTTTATGAATAGGCGTAAATTTGGTAAGCCAAGCGTTGGTAGAAGTGCTTTTAGCGAAGCTGAAAGATAAAA